TGTGTGGGAGAGACTTTACCTATTGAGTTCACTCTCTAGCTCAATACAGTGTTTTGTTTTCATAACTGACACTGTTTTTCGGTTGGGTCCGTCCGTCCATCCATCCATCCATCCATCCATCCATCTATCTATCCATCTATCTATCTAGAAAAAGGCTTCCTACATAGTCCTGGCTGTCCTGGAACTCACTATGTAAACCAGGCTGGTCTCAAACTCATAGAGATCCACCTGCCTCTGCCTCCTGAGTGCTGGGATTAAAGGCGTGTGCCACCACATCCAGCTTCTATATTTACTTTAGTATTTGTACTTTGAGAATAATACTTTTTTTTATATAAGTTCATCAGTACCACTCAGTGTTTGATACAGGCCTACATTGTGTAATAATAAAATCAAGGCATTGGGCTATCCATCAGCCAATCATTTAGTGCTTCTTTGAGGTGAAACAATTCTCCCACACCTATTTTGAACCATACAAGAAATTTCTGGCTAGAGTCACCTTATGGTTCAGAAGAAATCCAGACCTAGTCTCTCTTTTTAACTGTAACTTTGTTCCAACCTCTTCTCGATTGTCCACCCCTCCCAGCCTTTGGCAAACATTGTTCTGTGCTGTTTCTACAAAGCTGACTTCTGGAGATTGCGCATATGTTCAGTCATGTAGTATTTCTCTCTTGGAGCCTGCTTCATTTCATTAATGTTCTCTATGTCTATCCGTGTGTATGTGTGTATGTATGTATGTGTGCTATATGCATATTTATGTGTGTGTGGGTACACATGCCTATGCGCACATGTAGAGGCCAGATGAAGATGCCAGGTGTCCTGTTATGGCATTTTCTACCTTATTCACAGGAGACAGGGTCTCTCACCAAGCCTGGAGCTAGGCTGACACGAAGCAAGCTCCAGGGATCTTCTAGTATCTGTCTCCTACAGGGCTGGGGTTATAGTCTGCCTCAGCTTTTTACATGGGTGCTTAGGATTTGAACTCAGGTCTTCATACTTGCACAGAAAGTGCTCTTACTGCTGAACCATCTCCCCCACTATCCATGTTATGTGCTCTAAATGAAGGTCCCTCAACACAGTGAGTGTCATTAATGACAACCCACAGCAGCTCGAATTGTATTGAATGGGAAAAAAATGAAAGGTTTTTTTCTTTAAGATATGGAACAAGCCAGGCTGTGCATACCTTTAATCCCAGCACCTGAGAGGCAGAGCCAGGCAGATCTCTGAGTTTGAGGCCAGCCTGGTCTACAGAGCAAGTTCCAGGACAGCCAGAGCTACACAGAGAAATCCTATCTGGAAAAAAAAAAAAAAAAAAAAAAAAAAAAAAAAAAAACAAAACAAGAGAGGTATGGAACAAGACAAAGATTGTTCACTCTCACCACTTATAATCAACAGAGTCCTGGACAATCTACCCACAGCACTTAGGCAGGAAGAAGGAGGAAGGGCAATTCAGCCTGGACAAGAGAAATGAAACTGTCTCTCTTTGCAGATGATGTGATCATATGTATAGAGAGCCCTACAAGCTCCACAACTCTTTACAATTAATTAAAGAATTCAGTCAAGTTGCAGGCTACAGTATCAGTTTGAAGAAATCAGCGGTATGTCCACACGACAGCAGCAAAGCTGTCTGACACAGGAAGTCCACTTGGACTAGTTACAGCAAAATGCTACAATGCCCGGGAATACATGTAACCAAGGAGGGGAAAGGTCTCTGTAGTGGAAACTATATTGATGAAAGAAATCAAAGACACAGTAAGTGGAAAGGTGCCCTGTGTAAATGGGTTAGAAGAATTAATATAGTTAAAATGGCCATACTACCCAAAGCAATTCAGATTCAATCCAGCCCCTCTCAAAATAGCAGTGACATTTTTATTTGTTTGTTTTTGAGACAGGGTTTCTCTGTGCAACAGCCCTGGCTGTCCTGGAACTCTCTTTGTAGACCAGGCTGCCCTCAGACTCGCAGAGATCCAGCTGCCTCTGACTCTCCAGTGCTGAGATTAAAGGTGTGTGCCACCACACCGGGCAGCAATGGCGTTTTTTATGGAAAGAGAAAAACAATCTTATAATTGCTATGGAACCACAAAAGACCCTAAATGGTCATAGTAGTCTTGGACCAAAAAGACAAAACAGGAGTGAGCACCTTGGTTTTAAAGTATATTGCAAAGCCTCAGTCACCCACACAACATGCTATTAGCATACAAACAAGTACTCAGGCAAATAGAACAGACTAGAAGTAAACTTCAGTCATTGAGCTTCAACAAGACCAGGCGGTGTTTCCATACTGAAGAAAGGACCATCCTTGATGATTTTTTGTGTGTCTATGAGCATATATTTTCATCTCAAAGAAGAATGCAATGTTTTCAGTTTAGCAATGTGGATGGAACTAGAAATCATCATGTTAAGTGAAACAGGCTATCCCAGAGAGGTAAGTGCCAGCACTCATGTGTTGTCTATAAAGTAGCTGAGCTCATAGAAGTTGAGAGTAGAGTGTTCGTCACCAGAGACTGTAAGAATAGGAACAAGAGCAGGGGTGGGGTGGGGGGTTGATTAATGGAACAGGGACAAGAAGTTCTGATGTATGCCAGCTGGGGTGTTGCATGCCTGTAATCATGCCTTAAGAGGCAGGCAAATTGGGTGTTCAAAGCCAGCCTGGGTCATATAGTAAGCTCCAGCTAACCTGGGCTACGAAGTGAGACCCTGTCTCCGGAAGCAATGACCAACCCAGCAGCTAAAGAACCCCAGGAGATCTGGCATGTTACGCAGTCAGTGGGATGACTATATATAATAATAATGTTCTGTATATTTCAAAAAGCCAGGAGAAATGACTTGTAATGTTTAACCATAGAGATATGCTTGAGTAGACATGTTTAACCTGATAGAAACATTATACCATTTACACATATACCAAAAATCATACCAGATATATGTGTACTATATATATACATAGACCCACACCCACACCCACACATATAGTGTTCAAAATAACTTA